CACACTTCTCTAGTTCAGTAACCAATTTCACCACCTTTCTCCCAGCCTCAGAAGGATACCCTTCTCCAGTTTAAGTTAATGTTTCTATTTATTCTCTCAGTTCTATCTTTTACTGTGGCCTCCAAATCTCTGCTCTATGAAATAGCACTTCTCATGCCTATAATTTCAAACTCTCACGACTGGCAGAGTACGTGTATTTTTAATTTTCATAGATTTTGCCAGACTGTTTCCAAAAAGACTGTTACATCCTGGTAGAAGACTTGAAGTTTATTCCTGGAAGAGGTTAAACCAAAGAGAAATTTTGGATTCAGGAACCTTAGGCTTGCTGAGAATGGAAGTACCATAGCGAGAACATGGTTTAGATGAAGTGTTACTAAAAAGTCAAACTCCCAATCTGCTTTGCCCCACTCAGCTCTGAACATCAGCAGTCAGTTTTCCACCCCTCAGTAGGACACTGGAAGATCCCCTGCTGGGAAAACTGAACAATCCAAGAAAGAGCTACAGACACTGAAAGCTGGGAGTTCCCCAGTGAAGAGAGGCTCACCCAGAGTGACCAACCATCCTGGTTTGCCCAGGAGTGTCCTGGTGTTGCACTGGAAGTCCTGTGTCTTGAGTAACTCCTCGGTCCCAGGCAAACTAGGGTGGCTGGTCACCTTAGGCACAGCCATGGGCAAGGTCCACTCTTGAATACAGAACTTCCAATCAGTTTTTTGGTGCCTTGCTCTTAAAAGTGAATGGATAGTCAAAGATTACCAGACATTTGAGGAAAGAGAGGGACTAATGCAAACAAACAGAAAAAAAAAGAAAAGAAACTCAATGAAAACCGCAACAACACAAGAAGCCAAAGAAAATGATACTGCATCCATTAAACAGAAAACTGTTTAACAAAAAAAAAAGGGGGGGGGGGAGAGAAAAAAGAGCTCTTAGAATTGAAGTACATGAGTTTCTAGATTAAAATGGAACCAATTACAAAGTATGAAAACCGCCTGTACCAAAGTATTTCACTGTGAAATTTCAGAATCCTAGAACTAAGAAGGTGGAAAATAATGATTAGTGCCCTCAAAATTCTAAGGAAAAATTACTTCCAGCCTATCATTCTAAAAACATTCTTGACATGCTAGATCTTTAACAGATTACTTCCCAATGTGCCTCTTCTCAGGGAGTCACTAGATGTACTCCACCCAAACAAGAGAATAAATCAAGAAAGAGGAAAATATGGGATTCAGGAAACAGGGGATTTAATCCAGGAGAAAAGCACAGGGAATCCCCAGGATGACAGCTGTGTAGGCCTGGAAAGGAATCACTCCAGACTGGAGCCAGAGAACAGAGAGTCCAGGAGGGGATACCTCCAAGAAAAAAGAAACACTGATTACTCAAACATATTGAGAGGACTTTTGTTTTTTCACTTGTAAGAACAGTATAAGTTAGTGATTAAAACAGGAAAAAAAAAAAAGGAAAAAAAAGAAAAAAAAAAGCAAATATAAGAGACAAACATTAACCCAGGGAAAACAAAAAAGACGTACGAGAGAGGAAATGGAATCATAATATCTTACAGGCTTAGGTGGAAATATGTACGCAGTCATAACAGTAAAGGCACTGGATACTGATCTAACCAAAAACTACAACACAGCCATAAAAGGAAGATTGGGGGAGGGGGAAATATGTTTGTGTTTGGGGAGGGGGAAATTAGGAAAGCTAATCCTCATCTTTCATGGAGGAAGTCAACAGATAATATCGAATATTAAAAGCTCAAGAAACTCAATAAATAGCAACGTAACTATTTCATTTAGAAATACGGACTAAATAACAAAAGAACACACCAGGGCTGAAAGTGTTTGTCTTTGAGGATATTGTTGGAACTAAAAAAGGTGATTCTAAAGATCATAGGGAAAATAAACATGTGAGAAGCCAAAAACTATTCTGAAAAAGAACAAAAGTGACCAAGGACAAGTGCTACCAGATACGTAAAAGTATTATAAAGCTACAGCTATTAAAAAAAACGTACATAAGACGAAGTCTCGCCTCCTCACTTTTAAGGAGAATTCTGGCTATACTTCTTCCAAGACAGATTTGTTCATTCTTCTGGCAGTCCATGATATATTCAATATTCTTCGCCAACACCATAGTTCAAATGAATCAATTCTAATGCCATAATTCAAATGCATCAATTCTATCATGTTATCAGGAGGGGCCAGTCCCCGAAGAAATGATATCATGCTTGGTAAAGTAGAGGGTCAGTGAAAAAGAGGAAGACCCTCAATGAGACAGGCTGATACGGTGGCTGCAAATAGCAAAGACTGGGAGTGTGAGGATGGAGCAGGACTGGGCAGCGTTTCATTCTGCTGTACACAGGGTCACTGTGAGTCGGACCTGACTCGACGGCACCTAACAATGTTAAAAACATGATGAGCACAAGAAGAAAAAGAGTACAGAAACAGGCTTCCAGCCACACAAGAATCCACTTATGTTAAAGTTGGCATTTTAAACCAATAGGGAAAAGACAGGTTATATAATAAAGGTTAATGGGCCAAGTAGAGAGCACTACTGTATAAATTTAAGGAATTTTTCAGCTCTTCCATTTCTGTAAAAAAGTCCATTGGGATTTTGATAGGGATTGCACTCAATATGCAGGTTGCTTTGGGGAGTATTGCCATCTTAAAAATATTAAGTCTTCCAATCCATGAATACAGGATGTGCACTTAAATTACAGATGCATCACATTTAGAGGTTAAAAATGAAACTGCAAAAATATTAGAATTGTACCCTGAAAACGACAAAACACTGTTGAAAGAAATTAAAGAAGACCTAAATAAATGGAAAGATCCTATGTTCATGCAGAAATGAAAAACCAATCCTCACATTTATATGGAATTGCAAGGGGTTCTAAATAGCAAAAAAATAATACTGAAAAAGAAAAACAAAGCTAGAGGACTCAAATGTCCCAATTTCAAACTTACTACAATGATAAAGTTTAGTATCCAGAATATATAAAGAACTCTTATAACTCACTGACGAAAAAGACAAACAATCCAGTTAAACAACGAGCAAGGGACCTGAACCGACATTTTTCCAAAGAAGACATACAAATGGCCAGTAAGCACATAAAAAGATGTTTATCATCATTAGTCATTAAGAAAATGGAAATCAAAACCACAATTTCCTACCCACCAAAATGGCTATAATAAAATAAAATTAAAAAGGAAAATAACAAGTATTGGAAAGAATGTGGAAAATTGGAATCCTTGTACATTGCTGATGAGAATGTAAAATGGTGTAGCTGCTATGGAAAACAGTTAAGCAGTGCCTCAAAAAGTTAACCATAGAATTACATATGACCCAACAATTCTACTCTCAGGTATATACCCAGAAGAACTGAAAACAGGGACTTGAACAGATACTTGTTTACCAATGTTCATAGCAGCACCACTCACAACAGCTACAAGATGGATTTAACTCAAATGTCCCTCAACAGCTGAATAGATAAACAAATTGTGGAATAAACATACAATGGAATATTATTCAGCAATAAAAAAAGAATGAAGTAATGATACATGCTACAATGTGGATGAACCTTGAAAACATTATTCTAAGTGAAAGAAGCCAGACACAAAAGGTCACATACTGTATGATCCCTTTTATATGAAATGACCACAAGACGCAAATCCACAAAGATAGAAAGCAGATTCCCAGTTGCCAGGAGATGGGGAGAAGGAGAAAAGAGGAGTGGTTACATAATTATTTAACGTGTTTTTGTGGGAGAATAAAAAAGTTCTGAAACTTGAGAGGTGGTGGTTGTACAACACTGTGAATGCCCCAAATGGTTAACTGCTGTGTGAATTTCACCTCAATTATTAAAAAAAAAACCACTAGAAGAAAACATGGGAGAAATCTGTATAATCCTGGAGTAGGGAAGGCTTTTCTTAGAAAGTCATAAAACCCAGAAGTCTTAAAGGAAGAAATGAATTTTGACTTCATAACAATGAAACTTACTGCACAACCAAATAAATACTATAAATGTAGTCAATGACTAACCGGGAAAGATTCTTGCTACATATGACAGACAAAGCACAATTTTACTTTAAATATAAAAACCTATTACAAATCAATAAGGAAAACACTGATAACAGTTGAAAAAACGGGCAAGGTTTTCAAACTAGCAGTTAACAGAACAAGAAACACAAATAAGATTATAAACATATGTTCAAACGCACTCATAATTTAAAAAATGCTTTAAATACTTGCAAGCAAGTATCTAGTCCTAACATTCTACTGACAGTGATCTAGCAAAGGCCACAAAGGACCTGGTTCACAAATCCAGTAAACCAAGAAGACAGAATAAATAAATATGCTACAATAAACACATAATCATCTTTAAATGAGAGGAAAAAGTTACTGATAAACTATCAAAAACATTTGATAAAATTCTAAATATTCTAAGTATTGTTAAGGAAAAAAAAAGCAGGTTACAAAATTATATATACATGTGAATATAAATGTGTGCATGTGTATGTGTGTGTATACATACATACATATATATATATATATAAAATAAGCCCTGGTGGCATAGTGATTAAGAGTTCGGTTGCTAACCAAATGATCGGCAGTTTGAATATGCCAGCCACTCCTTGGAAACCCTATGGAGCAGTTCTACTCTGTCCTATAGGGTCTCTATGAGTTGGAATCGAGTGACGGCAACAGGTTTGGTTTTTTATACATATATGTACGTACATACATACATATATATACATATACATATACACACACACACACACACACACAGGACAACATAATATACATATTATAAGTGCATAGAAAAAAAAGAAAAAACCACCAAAGTGTTAACAGTACTTGTTATCAATGGACTGAGTGATTTTTTTTCCTTTTGTAAGATTTCCTGTATTTACCACATTCTCTATAATTAACCTGTAATGGTGTTTTTAAAATCAGAAATAGTTATAAATGTCCATATAAAGTCTCTCACTCAGATTTTCTATACTTACCAGTAATAATGAAAATAAGCACCTTAGGCCTATTGGCACCTTGATCACTTAAGAGGTCAGTCCAGGGCCCACATTTCAGGACCTGGGTTTCAATTCCACAACACAAAACGAATTCCTCATGCACAGGGATTTCTTCCTTGATTTTTGAGTCCATTTCTAGGTAAGGAAAGAAAAACTGTGTGAAGAGTCACTAAAATGTAAAACCTTGAGCTGAAGAAAAGAGTTAAGAATAAAAAAGTCAAATTTCAATATAAGTAGGAAGAGACACCACAAATAGATACGGGAAATAGAAGACTATTTAGCAATTCTGGATTACAGGATTGCAAGAATATTAAAGCAAAATACAAGAGACATAGATTTGACCAAAAAAAAAAAAAAACAACTACAGATGGGTCTGAATCAAAATCGAATTGATCTTCCCCACATCTTCCCCCTCCAGTCTAAATGGGCAATAACTAACCATGGATAACACGTCCACTTTCTCTCTGAGGGAATTCTCTTATAGCTATGGGCTTTACCAGTGAAAAAAGTCCTCCTACCTTCACCTAGTGAAGACTTACGGGGGAAAAAAAAAAGTAGAGGTTATGGCTTGCCCTCATATTTTCCATGGTAGAACTATAAGAGGGACAGTGAACTCCTTTACGGTCTTTTCCTCATTTCAGTGTATGATCATATCCTTCCTCTATTAATCCTCTCTTGTCCCAAATTCCGTAAGCATATCTAATATGTATTATTATTGTTAAGTAGTACATGTATTATAAGTATTATTAAAATACCACATTGTCAAATTATTAAACGTGTCTGTGAAGGAAAAAAAAAACAAGGATATGAGATAACAAGGTGAACAACTTCCTAAATAATCTATGTATGTGCAAAACTGCAGTCCTAAATTATTTCTACCTCCATTTCCACCCCTGCCTTCCCTATGTCTTATCAACAGCACCATGCCTCAGATCACCAGTGGTCTTTCAATTTTCCTCTTTATGCCATTCACTGACAGCTGTCCTGAATTAAGACTCAAAGTACCTTTGTAGGTTTCTCCCCTCCTACGCTTCATACCAACCTTGTACTCCAGGCTGTCTTGTTCCTGCATTTCCTCAGTGTTTTCACATTTTCCTCCTCCTGTAACTTTGCTCATTATTTTATTTCCCAATCACTTACAGAATGCTTTCTGGAATGTGCCAGGTATCAATCTATTGACTCTCAGCTCCAAATCCTTCATTGCCTGCTTTGGGAAAATGGATCTGGGCCCTTTAAATATTTTCCTTTACCAGCTGACATGTTAAGCTTTGTCACTAGAGGGTGCTGGAGAGACGTTACAGAAGGAAGGAGTGTTCTTTCCTGGTTTCAGTGTGCTCTCTCAACAAGTTCCTGCAGAGCTTGCTTTTATTTTTCCCTCCACAGCTCAGCCCCTAGGTTTCTCTAGTGCAGTGGGTTTCCACTGGAGATAATTTTGTTACCAGAGGACATTTAGCAATATTTGAAGATATTTTTTGTTATCATATTGGGGGGGTGGGGGAGTACTACTGGAGCCCCGGTGGCGCAGTTGTTAAGTGTTTGGCTGCTAACTAAAAGGTTGGCTCGAACCCACCAGCCAGAGCTCTATGGGAGAAAGATGTGGCAGTCAGCTTTTGTAAAGATTAGAGCCTTGAAAACCCTATAGGGCAGGTCTACTCTGTCCTATAGGGTTGCCATGAGTCCAGATCAACTCAATGGCAAAGTACAGGTACTACTGGTATCTAGTGGGTAGAAACCAGGGGTGCTGCTAAACAGTCTACAAAACACAGGACACCCCTACAACAAAGAATGATCCAACCCAAAGAGTCACCAGTGCTGAGGCTGAGAAACCCTGCTCCAGTGCTAGGTACCTGTAGCTTTCACCAGCGTCTGGCCAGCCACCATGCATTTTCTCCTTCTCCAGCTCTCTACTTAGGCAGCAGTGGCGTACCCAGAGCCCCAGACGGTACAGGTTTACGCGCCAGACCAGCTCGCTGCTCCCCACAACTCCCTCCAGCCCCATATGCACACAGGGGGGAACCTGCAAGCCTGCCTTCTAAGTGAGCCAACCAGCCAATCCTTGTCCTACACAGCAGCCTGGAACTGCCCTGGCCCAAGCCATACACAACAGCACTCTAGGTTCTTTCACAGGATGGTCTCTCCAACTCCTGGTTCCAGCAGCACCCAAAGTGATAACCCAACTCTCTCAGTGCAGCCAATTCCCTCTGTGCCCACCTACCAGTCTCAACCTGCCTGAGCTCTGAGACCTGTTCTATGGCTCTCCCGACACGGACTCCATACACTCCAAGTCTCACGCCTCAGCGGTGCTTTGACTCCCTCTGCGTACCCTCCCAACCGCCTTGGCTTGCCTGTTGACACAGTGACTGTGGGCCAGCTCTGGCCCAGGCAACCCAGCAAATCTCTCTACCATCCAATGGGCTGTAACCAAACCTTCTTCAATGAAGTCTGAAACCTTGTTCCAAATTTTCTCTTCTTTGGGTGCTTTCCCTCAACCTCAGGGTATCTTTCAGAGTTCTCTTGCCATCTTTATAGCTGCTCTCCTATCACAACTTAATAATTCTTTATATTAAACTCCCCACTTAAATTACTGTGTAGCACAAAAAAAAAAAAAAAAGACCAATTTACTGGCCTGAAAGAGACTGGAGAAACCCCGAGAGTATGGCCCCCAGACACCCTTTTAGCTCACTGGTGAAGTCACTTCTGAGGTTCACCATTCAGCCAGGGATTGGACAGCCCCATAAAACAAAATGGGACCAATGAGGCACAGCAGTCCAGGGACAACGGTCAGAAGGCAGAAGGGGACAGGAAAGCTGGTGATAGGGAACCCAAGTTTGAGTAAGGACAGTGTTGACATGTAGTGGGGTTGTTAACCATTGTCATAGGGCAACACATGTACTGTTTAATGAGAAACTATTTTGTTCTGTAAACCTTCATCTAAAGTGAGAATAAGAGCACAATTGAAGAATGTAATCAATGTCACTGAACTGTGCATGTAGAAATTTTTGAAATGGTGTATCTCTGGCTATGTATATTTTCACCAGAAAAAAAGTTCGAGAAGAGAGAGGGTTGACACGTTGTGGGGCTGTTAACCAATGTCATAAAACAATATGTGTACTGACTGTTTATCGAGAAACTATCTGTTCTGTAAACCTTCACCTAAAGTACAATAAAAAATAAATAAATAAATAAAAATTACTGTGTAGTTTCTGAATCCTGATTGGACCCAAACTGATACAGCCCTCATTTGGCTATCCAGATTTTCCTCTTCAAATCTTCCTCATGTTAGTACAAATCCTTGTTTTCTGAATGAGGTCTTCACTGAGCACCCCAGCTGAAGGAAATCTCCCCTTCCTCTAAACTCATAGCATCTGTGTTTATCATAACCTGGCCATGATAAGGTAGCCTGTTAGGCTTTACTGGCAGATCAATACACTTGTTATTCATGTTATGGTACACTCTCCCCGACCTAAGTACTTACTATTAGCCCCCGAGTCATCACCACAAGCACTACCTGTCCCTCCCCAGAGTGAACACCTTAAGGTAAACTGGATGTTGGTTAGGATGTGATGACGGGAAAGTTCACGTATTACTGGTAATAATGAAAACAGGCTTTAGAAAGCAATCTGGCAGCATGGAACAATACCCATAAAGGGCATAACTTTGATTCAGTAATTTTGAGAAATCAATTCTAAAAAAAAAAAAAAAATATTTATTTAAAGACTAGTTGCATGGGATGCTATTTATAACAGTGAAAAACTGAAGAACCTAAATGTCCATTAATGAAGGAATAGTTAAGTACATTATGATAAACGATTATACAGCCACTAAAAATGATATATATGATTCAACATTAGGGGTGTGATTAAGTAAATTCTAGTTCAATCTTATGATCAAATATTATATTCCATCAAAACTGTTCTGCTAAATTGATTATAACTCATCCATCTGCTTTCTAAAGTTTCTAAAATTTCACTTCTCTTGTCTGCTGTTATGTTACCTCTTCCATTCTCTGTGTTTATGCCTTTACTACTTTTACTGTCATTTTAGTGGTAAGTTTAGGGAAGAAAAAGAAATAAATGCATATGTTCCAACATCCATGTTTAACCAAGAGTCCAAAATTAATTTTCTTTAATAAAAGAAAGACTTACAGAAAATGAAAAATTCTTAGTAAAACAGCATGGAACCCCTCTCCGCTCAAAATATATTGACTAAATAAATAAAAGTATCATTTAAACTTTTGTTATGGAGTAGTTTTTAGTTCACTAATAAATGTCATTGTAGCCCAGTCTCTAAAAGTATCACAAAACACAGTACGTTTACAAAAGTCTTCTGACATTTATAATGTGTTAGAAACAACATTATATTCAGCTGTTTTACACAGTGTTAGATTAGAGCACTGACAGAGAAGACACTGGCTAACCTTAACACTTTCATCAGGAGAGAACCCAAAGTTATTAAGTGCATTCAACTCATAAATATGAAAACTTCAAGTAAATGCCATCTTGGGAGTTTGAGCAGTCATAAAATTACTGAGAATTCAAGTAGATATGAAACTTCAACTCCGTCTATAAAAGTTGGAAAACAAACAAAAACCACACTGTAGCTCTAAAAACACCTCAAATAAAAGAAAACTAAGGAACAGATTAACATATGTATTTATAAACTATTTTTTCATTTTACTTCACTTCTGTGCTACTTAATCCCACATACCACATGAAAAAAGCAAAGGAAATCCTAAATACAGTATTCAAATTCTTCCTTACCCAAGAATCCAAGGTCCTTTAGTTCTGCAAAGAAGTGTCAGGTTAATAAATGGCAATGAGTTGTAATTATGTATAGTTAAAAGGTGATGGCCCAAATTTCAGCCACAGCTTATGCACAATCTTTAATTGAAATCAGTTTTGATAAGCAGCCAAGACTTCTGCTGGATAAAAACCAAGTATGGATACAGCACGCCTTAAGTTTCCTAAATATAGGGGTCCATTTACTTATATCAATGAGTCTTTAACTTTATTTAGTAAGAGAATCTTTTTTCCAGTTAAACCTTATGCAAACCAAGATAATATACAGTCTCAAAATATATAAAGTAAAAACTGACAAAACTAAATGGAGAAATAGATAAATCCACAATTATAGTGGGAGATTTTAACACACCCCTCTCAGTATCTGATAGAATCCAACCAACCAAACCAACTGGTTGCCATCAAGTCCATTCTGACTGGCAGCAACTCTACAGGACATAACAGAACTGCCCAATAGAGTTTCCAAGGAGTGGCTGGTGGACTCCAACTGCTGAGTTTTTGGTTAGCAGCTGAGCTCTTAACCATTGC